GCCGCCGCGGCCCTGCGTCGACCCGATCTGGGCGAATAACCGCCCGGGCCTACGCAGGCTTCATGGGGAAGTTGTTGCAGGGCGGCATGATCAGCTTCCGAGTTGCACAACCTGCTTGCCCATACATATTGGGGATTTTTCTTAGGTGAGGAGGCGGGGAAGGGCGCGCTGAGGCTAGTGTCCGACACGCGGGTGGCGGACGAGGGTTTCGAGCCGCCGCCCAAGATTATTTCGCCTACGGCAGCTGCATGGGCTGCCCTGGAGTCAGAACGCCCCGCGGCGGTGGCGCAGGGCGACGTCCAGTGCGCTTTCTACCACGTGCTAGTGCCGCCAGGTATGGGAGAGCACTTCACGGTTCCGACCCTTCTTAATCGACCTCGGGGTATCGAGCAGATCGAGGGGGGGCCGCTGGCCAGCGATTGCACCCTACATCCGATGGTTCGCGTGCCCCCCATGGGCTGGAGCTGGTCATTTCTCTTTTGCCAGAGCATCCTGAGGAGGGCCCATGTCCAGAACGGGTTTGGAGACGGCAGCCCGATAGAGGGCGGGCGACCGATTCCTGAGTTGCGCTCGCTGGGCTGTGTAGCTGCAGCTGGCTACGTCGACAACTTCGCAGTAGTTGGCAGCAGCGCGGCGATCGTGACCGACGTGAGGGGCAAGGTCACTCGCGCCCTTCAGGACTGGGGCCTGCCCGCGCACGCTATCGACGAGGCGTCGCCGGTGCCCATCTTCACGGGTCTCGAAATCAACGGTGACAGGGGCGCCGCGAGGGCGAAGCCGTCCAGCATCATGCGGCTTCGACATGCGATCCTGGCGGTTCTGCGGCGAGGGGCTGCGTCGCCTCGCATGTTCGAAGTGCTGCCGGGTCGCATTGCGCGGGTGATGATATGCAAAAGAGAGGCCCTGTCAATCTTGTCTTCGGCCTACGCTTTCAAGTCTCGGAAAGACCCTGGCGCAGCTCAGTGAGGTATGAGCTGTGTGTGTGTGTGTTGCTAGTACGTTGCCTCTCTGGACCTCGTGCCTCAGCATTCCTTAGGGGGCGCGCTTCTCGGCTTCGGGTGCTTCGCGCATCTTCGTCGGCTCTTGCACTCGTCAGCTGGTGGGGCCCCAGGTAGCCGATATCGGGGGGCAGGCGGATGAGCGAAGGTACCCGTGTACGTCAGCGGTCTCAGCGCGGGCTAATGCGTTGGGCCTAGACGGGCCCCATGGCGACCATCGTCAGACCACGGGGGCGTCTCGGAGGCCGTCGTCATGACGGGGTCGAGGCGCCCGGCTTAGAGGAACAGGCCCCACTTTTGGATAAGGGTTTCCACGAGATCCCGGAGGACACCATGCAGGCCTCGTCGCAGGCCACCGCCATCTCCAAAAGGCCCTGGGGCCCCGACAAGTATATCTTGGATCACGATGGAGACGCCTTCTGATGCTGCGCGAAAGGCATGGCGCAATGTATCTCTTCATCGTCACCGTCATTTACTCCTCGTCGATAACTTACTTTTGGCTCTAGTGGCTGGGAACGGCAGAGGGCGGATGCCCACCCATCGAAGACCCCCGCGGAAGGTGGCAGCTTTCTTTCTCTCTCTCTCTCTCTTTATATATCTCTTTCTCTCTTTCTCTCTCTCTCTCTCTCTCTCTCTCTCTTTTTTTTATCTCTCTCTCTCTCTCGCAACCAACATTCGTTGTTATGTGCGCTGGTTGCCGTCGGGGTTGAACGTTGCAGGCTGGCCTTGCCTCCGTGGCCTCTTCCATGGTAAGGGCTTCTTACAGGCGCTCGAAACCTCGGACTGCCGAGGTGCCCAGGAAGCAGCTGGCAATGACAGTCAAGGCTGCGCGAGAGATGGCGCACCCTCGCCCTCCAGAGCTGGAGGGGGGAGGGGGGGGTCGACCTCCTGGAGACGTCGGCGGTCGCGGGCCCGACGAGGGGTCGGTGTCGCGGGCGCGCTCTGCGGTTCCAGGACTGGCTCGAGTGTCGCGAGCGGGACTTCGGCGCCGCCAGCCGGCTGGAGGTGGCGGGGATCCGCTTCGCGACCGACCTGGCGTTCGACGGGTTCGACGCGGCGACGGGCGGGGTGACGGCAGCCGCGCTCGGGCGTGACCTGCCCCGCCTCCTGGGAGACGAGCATCCACTGCTCCGAACGGCCCGCCCGTTGGACGCCCGGCGCAAGCTGGTGCCTCCACAGATGCGGCTGCCGCTGCCGAGAGCAGCTGCCATGGCTTTGACAGGGTGGATGAGATGCGCGCAGCTGCCCACCATGGCGGTCTTCGTAGCGCTGGTGCTCCACGCGTACTTGAGGCTGTCGGAGGCACACCGGCTGCGCGCATGCTCGCCAGGCCCCACGATAATGGATTCGAGTGACAACACCTTGCCGCTGATCGTGAACGATGCGAAGTTGGGCCGCCCTGGCAAGACTGAAGCCACCGACGAGTCGGTGCTGGCCGACGCCCCCGAGCTTCGGCCCGCGCTGCACGCGTTTTCGCTTGGCGCCTCAGCGGGCTTGAACCCGTGGAATTCCACGCCCGCGGACGTGCGCGCCAGGCGATGCGGGAAGAGGGCGCTGCTTCAGCGGCCCATCGCGGATTTGCAGCCTGCCGTGGCAGATTTCGGCAAGCAGGTCTTCAGTCGGTTGGCGGGGCTCCTCGAGACCCGGCACTTGGCAGGCTCGTTCCCGATGCGCGCGCCGCTGCAGGCGGGGGCGATCGCCCCGCGGGCCGCGAGGCAGGCGCCCGTTCTGATCAGACGTTAGTTTCTCGCATGGTTTTTTTTTGTTCGGCGGGCCCATGCTTGGGCACCCAGCCGTCGTCGCCTCGTTTTGCAAGCGTTCCGCGGTCGCGGTTTGGGGTGTCCCAGGCTTGGTGCAGGTAGGAATGTTGTTCACTGTTTCTCAGAGCGGGTCGTCGTCGATCGGGTCCTGGGCTGGGGCCGATCGTCGGCGGTCGATGCGTTGCGGCCGTCTCTGCAGCGGGGGGAATCCTGGGTCGTGCCTGGGTCTCCTCACTTTCGCACCTCGGCCCAGCCGGGAGGCTGTCCTGCCAGTGGGGCGACGAGATTTGCTGTGTCTTTTGTCATGTCAGAATGTGGAGCTGCGCGCTGCCCTTGGTTTGATTCGCGCATGTATCGAACGCCGCGCGCCTGTCTGCATCGAACGCCCGAGAGCGAGTCTCGCGTGGAGCGTGCCCGAGTGAAGAGCGTTGACCCTTTGCGAGTGTTTTGAGGAAGTGGATCTGGACGTCTGTCAGTTTGGAGCCGCGACGCGTGAGGTGCCCGCAGCTCCAATCTCCACGTTCGATCTGTGCTCCGCGCGGCATGGTTTGCTCCTGCTCGGGTTGACCTCAGTTGCAGTTTGACGGCCGCGCGGTTCAAGGCGTCGCGCGCAGGTCTACACTGCGCGATCCCCCGTCAGGGCAACCGGGCATGTCGCGAGTGCCCCCGTTCATGCTATGGAAGATTTGAACTGGTTCAGGGTGTATTTTCTTGCCGGCCTACGGCCAGATGCAATGTTATGCCATGTGCGTATGGACTGTGTGCGAGTGTGCACTGCCGCTTCGGAGCCAGGGCATCATCTCTTGCCATCGCCACCGTCAGCTTCTCTAACAAGAATGTCATGGCCGCGGCGGCCCGATCTGGCATAGCAGCAACTTGTGTAGAATGTGTTGGGGATGGTGACGAGTGGCCGCAACACCGCAACCGTTGTGCTCAAGCTCCCAACCCGCCCGCCCTCACTTTGGGTTCTTTTCATTTGATTTGACACGTCTGTGATGTTTGCGAGTGTACGCCGCCATTCTCGGAGCCGTGGCATCATCTCCTGCCATCGTCACCGTCCGTTTCTCTTTGAAGAATAATATGGCCGCGGCGGCCCGACCTGGCAAACTGTATCGACATGGTCGTTGTCATTATCACCACCGCCGTGAGCATCGTCATCGTAGTTGCCGTCGCCCTCGTCAACGTTTTGCGCGCGCAATTCCTCATCATTCTCACAAACGCAATCGTCGTCGTTATCGCCAGCGTCGTCGTTGCCACCTTCATAATTTGACCGTCCGCTTCATCACCATCACCATATTCAGCGAGATCGTCCCCGCCGTCGTGTTGGACATCACCATAAGCATCGTCATCGTCGTTGTCGCTGCCCGCTAGAGTTTTGCCAAGACCTTGCGGTTGGCTGGGTGGGACGATTGCACGAGCATTGGAGGTGGTCACCCGCGGATGCGGTCAGCATGAGCTCGCCCCATCAATTGCGGAGCAGAGTCCGATTGCGCCGTTTTGATCACATCGCATGGACTGCGCCGCAATAGTCGCAAAGCATAGGTCGCACCCCATGGGTCAAACCCATGCGTTCAACCACATTCATATAAGCATTCGCTGGCATCCTGCACATCTTGTACATCGTATGTACCATTCGGTTATAGGGCCTAGCCGACGCTACCCATCGCGATCCTTCGACAGGTTGCCTCGGCCAGCCAGTACGCACCTTTGCATCCAGTTGTGTCCTTCGTCCAGGTGTTGTTTGCACATCGATATGGACTGGCCCAGGGACCGACGTGGATTCCATCTCATTCGTTCGCACGTTTTTCGACGTCGTGATTGCACCATTTCGTCAGGCGAGCACTAACCATGGAGAGCAAACATCGTTGTATGGGCTTCTGCCCGCAGGATGGCCGGCTCTGGAGGTCCCTTTTTTTCTGCTCCCGCCCCGTCCTCCGATCTCATCTCCGCCCCATCCCATCTCCTTTCCGCCTCCTTCAGCCCCCCCTCCATCGCCCCTTCGTCTTGTGTCGTTGCCCATTCTCTATCTCCCCCTCCTCACTCCGTCCTCCGACCTCCGCATCCCCCCCCCTCCTCATCCCGCTTCATCCCGCCTGGGAGGCTACGGCCTCCTGCGCAGGCCGTAACGGCCCGTCCCGCCCTGGCAGGACGTCTCCTCGCGTCGTTCGTTCGTTCGTTCGCTCCTTTGTTCTTCACCCCGCGAAGGACTGCGCTGCGCGGGTTTCAGCGCGAGTGTAGGAACATGCTGGACGGCTGCCGCCTGGGGATCCACTTCGCCCAGGTTCTCTTCTTAGCTGCGCAATTGTTCTCAGGCTTCCGCCACACTGCCGACCCCTTGGGGGCGGTTGTTGTTGTGGAGCTCCTGAGGGCCTCTTAGGCTGCCTTTGGGAGGCTTCTTGGAGCTCTTTTGATAATCGAATGGCCTTCGGCACATCCCGCCAGCTTGCTTGGGCTGCGGGTCCGAGGCCACGCGAATGGCAGATGGGGTCTCGTGGGAGGCGTCTCGGGGGCGTTTGGAAGCCAGTTATTGACCTCTTGGGGGCCTCCTGGGAGCCTCTGGGTGATTTTTTGGGTGCCTCTCAGAGCTCCCTGTGAGCCTGTTGGGGGCTTCTTGGGGCAACCGGGGAGCGTCTTGGGGTCGAAAGCTCGAAATGTCCGTTCGGGTTCCCCCCTCGAAGCCTTTTCTCTTTGGGCTGTCCTGGGGCCCCCCTGGGCCGTCTTGGGGGCTTCTTGAGCGGTCTTGGGGTCCTCTTGAGTCGTCTGGTAGCCCTCTTGGGGGCCTCTTGGGCCGCCTTCGGGCGATCTAGGAGGCTTCTTTGGCCGCCTTGGATGTTGCCAGCGCTAAAGAGGCGACTGTGTTAAAAATGAACGTTTCCAACGGGAATGGGACGATTTTTGCTCTCGGAGGTCGTCTTGCGACGCCTCTTAGGGGCTTTTTGGTGAGGGCCGCTTGGGCCGTCTGGAGGCCAGCGTGAGCGCTTTGGATCAATCTTTCGGCGGCTCGTGGCCCTCATGGAACGTCCAGAGGGCCTCTTGGGGCCCCCTTGACCTGTTTTGGGGCCCTCTGTCCACCCTGGGCCCGTTCGGCCGGTCCCCAGGGGGAAAACCCCCCCCTCCAAATCGACCGACCGGGTTCCCGGGGGAGGGGTTGGCGAGGGGGAAGCCCTTCACAGGCCGATGAACCCCAAGGGGTCAGCGAAATCTTAGAGGGAGCGTGAGTATTTGTGCGCCAGCCAGCCCTCATTCAGAGACCTGCGACGCATCCAAACCGCTCTGAGGGAGCTTGTGTTTCAGTTCCACCTTACGCTGGTCTCTCTCCCTGTCCCTTCCTGTCCCTGTCCCTCTCCCTTCTCCTCCTCCTCCTCCTCCGTTTTTTTCTTACCCTTTCTTTGTCCCTCCCTACCCTTCCTCGCCTCATCCCCTCTCTCCTTCCCTGGTGCTCCTCCTCCTGCTCTCTCTCGCTCTGCCCGCCTCCGTCCAGCTCTCCCTGCCCGTCTCCTTCCCGAATATTTCTTCTCCTCCCACGTCTCATTTCCTTTCTCCTCCCCCCTCCCTTCATCGTTGCCTGTGCGTCGGTGGTCGCCGCCACCTGATGCAAGCAGTTGATTGTGAGAGCAGCTCGGGGCCAGGCGCTCCTGATCTTGGCGATCTCGCGAAAGCCTTGAGGAGAGCCCGCCTCGGCTGGCAAAGCCCGCCGCGTGATGCAGCCCGCCAGGCCAGTGGCGATGCGGCGAGCCCAGTCACATAAACTGCGCGCTTTGCTTGCAGGTGCCCCCCAGTCGCCTCACGTTTCGACGCTGTCCAGACAGGGATCGGAGATCGTTGCGTTTTTCGTGACATGCAAAAAGCCGACTTAGGCGAAGTAGCAAGCAAATTGAGCAGGTGGCGGGCGCTGCAGGCGAAGACAGGGCACAGGTCGCCCCTCGGCCTCGCCCCTCTGCCCCTCCGCCCCCTACGTCCCTCCGCCCCCCCCCGTCTCCCCGCCCGATGTTGCCCCTCGCCCCTCCGCTCCCCTCCCTCCTCGCCCCATCTTCTCCAGCTGCAGGTCGGGCATGTCCTCCTACAGGCGGAGTGTGGACGACAAGTATAAACCACACGGCCAACCCACGGTCAGACATGGTCAGAGGAGCACGAGCATCGTCCCCACATTTTTTGGTTGTTGGCTATTTTGGCCTGTAGTGGGACATGCCTGACTGAACCCCAGCTCCCTCTCGGCCTCCACTCGAGAAGCGAGCGGCGAGAGAAGCACGAACATACCGGAGGCCCGCGCGGGGTTCTTGCATACCGGCGCTGGGCTGCCTCTCGGCGACGCCTCCGGAGCGCGGCGCCGGGGCGTCCCCTGGAGGCGCCGCCACGGGGGGCCCAGCGCCGATGCGGAAACTCGGCGCGGACCTCCGAAAGTTCATGCTTCTGTCAGTGTGTGTGTGTGTGCGTTTCTGTCGTTGTGTGTGTGTGTGTAGCCCAGCACTCCGCCTCCGCCCCCCCGCCCCTTCGCGAAGCCCGACAACCGCGGCGCGGGGCCCGACGCGCTGGTCGACCAGCTGGCGGCGGCGGTGCAGCCGCCGGAGCCGGAGGCGCAGGCCCCCGCCCGGGAGGGGAGACCGTTTTGCCCGTCGCAGCGCGGCAGAGGCGATCCGCACGCGCGCTCTCGTTGGCCGGGAGCGGGCGAACTGATGATCCGGCTGCGTGAGATGGGAGGGGGGCGGAGGGCGGCAGCAGAGCCAGGAGAAGGAGTGCGCGAA